CGTGAGCTCATTTGAGCTTGAGAAGATCCAAATAGTTTTGAAATTCTTGTAGTTTGCTAATGATTATTTTAATAGAATATTATTTTTCATTTATATAATAATTAAAATATATACAATATTAATAAAAATCAAATTAATTGTTACAAAACTATAGAAACATGACAAGTTTGTGGAGTATATTATTGAATGAGAAATAATTATTTTTTATTGTACAATCAAAATAAAAAATATAAATAAATTAAAATAAAATCTATACAAGCACCAATTGCCCCTAAAAAAAAAAAAAGCACAAGCAAAAGTAGAATATTTCAAAATCAACCCCAATAATTGAAATTTTATTTTCAGTGCAATCACCATGTACGGTGTGGTCCAATTAACTGCGTTACCTAGGAACAGGATTGTGAGCTTTTGAAGAGCACAAAGAGTATTATACATTCAACAAGGATTCAATTGTTTTAAACCCATGATTCTCTGGGAGAAGTCCATTTCCTGGCCGTAGAGCAATTCTCACTTCCAAACCTAAAACATTGTTTAAAACCACATATCTTAGGCAAGTGTCACAATAATTTAAATTCCTTGCACGCAAAGGCAGTGCAAAAACCGCAAAAAAAAAACCTCTTTTTGGTCCTTCCTTTAAAAAAAAAAAAACCAAAACACAGACACGCACACTCACATACCCACATAAAACACACACCCCACACAAAACGCTCCTCCTCCACAGAAAGGAAGACAGAAATCAACAACCACACACATATGAAAAAGAACTAAGGAAACAAACAAAAAAAAATCAGCAGAAGACCACAAAAAAGAACAACAAGAAGAAGATAATAACAGAAGAAAACAGCAACCAACATTGTTTAATTGGCATAACATTCGTGTTTGTCTATACAAGGCCATTCAAAGAATATTAGGAACAAGAAGCACATTACCTGCAGCCCTTGCAGCTACAGCTTCTTGTAAGGTATTTGTCACGTATAACATGTCCAATGGCCTCTCAATTCCCACAGTTTGCAAAATCTCAAAATAACTTTGTGGATCATTTTTATTTCTGCAGTTTGAAATTTGAACAGAAGATTTTATCTGGCTGGGTTATAGAAAAATAATCAGCATCTGAAAGCAAGCAGCCCAGAAGGTTTACCCCACTGTAGTATCAAAAAACCCGCAGAAGTATTTTCTCAAGTTCCCAAAGTTGGAGTATGAAAACAAAAGAAGTTGTACTTCCCTGCTACAACTTGAGTATGCATACACCTTTGGTAAGAAAGAAAATAACAGTCAGCTCAACAGAAGCTGTTTTATTCTTTCGAACTAAAAAGCTGCTTTGTTTATGAGCAAAACAATGAATAGTACTTTGAGAAAAAGGGTTTTTTCAAAGAAAACAAGGAGATAAGATATAATGTAGGCAGTAGGTCTGACTGTTTTATGATAAATGAAAATGAAAACTTTGAAGGAGATACTAGACCAAATTTCAATGACCACTTTTTCATATTGGTCATGAAAAATATTGCAGAAGATACCAAATATGGGACCAACAAATTTTTAAGTCAATAACATTATATGAACCTTTATGCCTGAAGCATGCCACCTCTCTAGAGCGTCAGGTACATCTTTGAATATTACACCAACCAACTCTTTACTTTGAAATCCTGTTCTCCATACATGACCCTGCACAAAATTAAAGGAAAAAAAAAGATTAATATGGCAACATTTTACAGGGAAGAAATAAACCCTTAAGAGGCACACTTCTAGTTTGCTTACTTGCAGCCACTGCCATTCCCCATCAGGCCCTAATCATTGCTTCAACATTAGCAACCAAGAAGCAATCACTAAATCTTTCCCAACATAATCTGGAGGTATAGCTAAAGCACCACCAACACCTTGCTCCAGATCATCCTGAATCTAAAGGGGAATATATGGAAGTTTAATTGCATCCGTTGAATATTATTAATTCCAAAGCGGCTCAAAACACAAAACCATGTATCTTAAACCAATTCTAGCAACACCTAAAAGAACCAAAATGCTATTTCTTCCTCTGCCCCCTTTCCTTCAATATCTTCCCCTTAGAACCAGTTAACATGATTTGGGAAAGTTTCAAAATAACTTGAATATTATTTTAAAAAAAAAAAAAAACCTTTTTTTTAATTTATTTCTTCTTTTTGTTACAACCTTTTGCTTTTACCATGAATCAGTCTCTTCATTAAAAGGTGTCTACGTGAGAGAACTGAACCAAAGGAGAAGCAGAAAGACATAGAATATATCAGACTAGCAATCTCGATATACAAAAGGTACCTTATTTCTCAATACACCATTTACTGGTTATTCAAAATATATCACGTAAACTTATAATTTCTTTCTATACAGATCAATTAAAAAAATATTGGGTATGTAAGAACCCACACCAGAGATACCTTTAACAAAGTAAACTACAGATCACCTAGTTAAACACACATAACAAGGGATGCAAAGCAACCTTCAAAAGTACAGCACATGAGAACTACAAGGCAGAAATTACACAAAACTTTTCCCTCAAATATACTCAGTAAACTGTGAATAACAATAGATGTATTTCTTATAGTGTAAGATACACGCTACATTGAAAATGAAACCATAAGTTCAAAATGCAAATATTCAGTCAGAAATAGCAAGATTGTTTAGTTCATTAACACCATAAAGTCAATGGCAAGAAGAATAAGGAGAGAAAAACTTACTTGAGAACGCATAAGAATGACATCACGCGGAGTTTCTTCAGTGTCATATGTAGATGCTAGATGTTCTCCTATACTATCGCGGACATAGGCAAAAAGGATATCAGTCAAAAATGATATGGGTGTCGCTGTCCCTTCAATGTTGAGGAGAATACAGCGCCTCATTAAAAACACTATTAGGTTAAAAACAAGTACCATATATGTTTTTGGATCATTCTGTCTTTGCACAGATACTTAAATAGAAACTTATGGTAAGCAAATGGTTGGTAACAAAATGTTTAGAAATTTTACTATTAATTTTCTTGAGGAATCTACCTTGGAAGGATCAATCATGCAATCTAAAGCTCTGCTGATATTCCCACAACCCCAACCTCCATTGAAAGCATGATTTGGACCATGATTTGGAGAAGACCAGTTGAGCCCCAGTTGGTGAAGCTTGATAGCAGCATTGAAAAGATAATGGTAACATTCAGCCTGGTTTCAAAAACTTAAATATCAGGAAAACATACAAAAGAACTTAACAAGTTTTTTCTTTGTACTAGAAAATAAGATGCTACCAGCCTTCACCTTAGACAAACATCAAGGTTTTACATTCAGAAAAACAGTGCAATGAAGTTATACTTGGACTACAAGAATTTAAAAATTATTTAACTTTAAAAATAAGCACAATTCAAGTTTTAAAATAAAAAGGAAAAACTGTAAAGTCATATAGAAGGAGAGAGACAAAAAAGGGAAGCAAGATATTCATCATTGTAATTTTGAATATCATGTTTTAGAAACTAAAACCTAGTTCTCAATGTTCCAACCTGAGTTTTAGCACTTATCCATGAATCTCCCCATATAAACACTCCATGGTTGCGAACAAGTACGGCTGTTGTTTTTGGATAAGCTCTTATCTATAAAACAGAGGGTTATGAGAGACATGTGTAGTACACTGTATAGGCAACTTCCATCACAAGGCGAAAATCAAGCCTACTGTTTTGAATTAAAGTTCAAACCAACAATTTTGGTGAAGACTAATTCATGGTTCAAATACAACAGAATATTAAGCCAAAATCATATACACAGTTCAACCTTGCTAATAAAACTATAACTGCTACAAACCTGGCCAACATGCTACTTATTGCTAAATGCAGTGAAAAATTTTTGCAGAAGCAAAACAATTAATCCTTTGGTTTAACATGAAAATAAATAAATTTTAAAAGAAGCAGCTTAAGAATAAGAAAATAGAAACAGAAGATAAAAAGTATCCAACTATTAATGCAAACATTAGTTATCAATCAGAAAGGGAATAGGATAAAGATTTAATGTAATCAAGGTCAAAGCCAAAAACATGTTGATGACAATTCATGCTTCTTCTCAATATTAACTTTTCATCAAATGGCAGAATGGAACCCCAAAAATCTTCCCGGAACTACAAAACTCTTGTTCAGTTTCATATTTCTTTTTTGCCACTAAATTCACTATGAAGTTTAACCTGTTCTACGACACTAGGCTTGAGAATTCTTCTTTAAGGTAGCTTTTGTTTCTTATGGAATATAAAATCAATAGAGAGTAGCCCCACCTATATCTTATTGCACAGTTAAACAAAGAAAAGAAGTTACTGTGTCAGTTAGAGACTCCTTGAGCTCTCCTTCAAGTGCAGTGTTCTCAATTATTGGGACCACAAGCTCATCATGGTAACCATGCCCTTGAATTCCTTTGATCATCTCCATATGAGTAATCTAAAAATATTGAAAAAGAAAATAAGTAAAAGAGAAGAATGTTTAGATTAGAACCAGTAGCAGTATACAAATGAGAAAATTTGACTAAATTATTAAAACGTAAGAGCTTGCAATCATATTGCAAAGGAAAAACAAAATCACTAGCCATTATGATCCTTGTCATGGATTAATTTCATGCAACCAACAAATGTTGGTACATAATTCAAGCTTAGATCAAATATCTTCTAATATAATTAGATAGTGCACCATGGTGCATGCATACCATAACCCCTCTTCTTTTCCTAGGTTAACCACAAAACTTCTAAAATTACGAGATTTTTTTTATCAGCCAAAGATTAAGAGTTAAGCATGCAACTATTGTCTTTCATGCAAAACTAGTTTGTATATAAGCTCAAGTATGGATATACAACCAAGCATTGAACACCCAAATGTTCTGTAATTAACTTTGGGTAACAAAGTACCAAGACCACCCCCTATAAAAGAGTTTTATATTTTACAGAAAAGAAACATAATTGTCAACAGATTACTCGAAACTCCTTTGAAAAGGGATTGATCATTGTCACAAGACAAGCCTCCATTCCATGACTGTGGATAACAGCACCAGCATTACACATTTCATAAACCTGGAGAATGAACAGAAGATTCATATATAGTAATTAATTGGGTAAATATAAAACATAAACAGCAAGAGCAAGAAAGAAATAAACAAATTTCTATTTCATAACTAGCAGCAATTTAACCATCCCCACTGCAGAAAGAATAAGCTTATATATCAATAAACCATATCAGTGTATTTAGTGATTAAGGGGAACAAATTTAAAGAATATGGCTAGGGCTTCAAACTAGCTAATCATGTACCTTCTATAGCTACTTAAAGTATTGAACAAAACAAAATCTACTTCGTTAGGAACAAAAATTTAAAAACCCCCCATCATTTCCTCTTTATTAACAACATCCATGAGAAAACAGCTGCATCAAATGCAAAGAAAGAGGAAAAGCAGAAAGTTCTCTTCAAATATCTAATGATCCATATAGCAATAAAAATTATATCACTGCAAAACCAGTAAAAGTCTGACATCATAAACGGAACAATCACCTCCATAAAGAGAGGTGCACAATCAGTACACTTAGGAGGTGGATATGGATATGGTTTAAGAGGAGGCAATGACAATATAAATCCATCTGAAGACATCACAAACATTTCCTCTGGCGCCATTCTTTCCTTCTGAACACCTACATCAAACAAAAAGCTTGACCAAATGAAGTGACACATTAAAAATTAACTAGAAAAGTATAAAAACAACTCATATATTAGTATCATGTGCTCAGTCAGCAATTCAGCATACGCCTCAGATAGCAATTGATTATTGATGTAAACTAGCTACCCTTAAAAAAATGTACAAAAGACCAATATCTTAAGGACACCTTTGACGCAATGCTTATCAACCCAAACTTGAACTTGATAAAGCACCAACAACTTAAATGAAGAACAACTCAATTCTTATTTGTATTCCTTTTCAGAAACACATAAAGTAAACATCAAGTTAGAACTTGAATAGACGGGCCAGGCTACTTGATCTAGTGGAAATATAGATTGCTAAACTTTACTACAAATCATTTCCATATTCTTTTCTTTCTATTCAGTGTTCTGCATGCATGTCTAGTAGGAAGGTACCAACCTATTCAATAATGCGTGCATGTCAATATAACTTGCAATATATGCAATACATGCACATAAACTCACATATACACTTAACAACAATCTATTTGTGTTGAGAGGCAGAAATACCAGAAGGAGACATGACAATAATTTGGTGAGATCTGGGAACAGACTCATCATGCACTTTGATGGTGACACTCCCACCAGTACCTAACACCCAACCTAGTGTGTAGAAATGGCGGCACAACTCTGCCACTAATGCCTTTGTGTCATCGACTTCCTTTCTCTCTAGACATGCTGATGATACTGTGGCACTCTTACTCTTCAGAACCATTGACTGTGACTGTTTCATCCCTGTTGAACTACCACCAACTACATCAACATTGATAGCCACTGATGATGACGGTGATAATAGTTCCATTTTCTTGCCTATAAAAAAGATTTAAGAATGGAGAGAATAAGGAGCTTACTGAAATAGATTTCTTAACAAGAGGGAGAAAAATAGAAATAAAATTCTATAACCTAAATTACATGAAGAGATTCACACATACAAAAGGAACCAACTTGATATGTTCAAGCAAAAAAAAAAAAAGTCCATCTAGAATAGATTAATAGAAATATACTACCATCTTCTTTGAAAGATTCAATTTTAATGTGTTACTCGTAGGTAAAATAACTTAAATAATGAAGTGATAAATTTTTTTATTAAAAATTAAAAATTAAAAATCCTAAAATTTGTGTTGTACAACATAAAAATATAATAAAGTGAAATAAAAAATGAGAAAAAAATGGGAAAAGATTCAATCTGATTATGCAATTAAAGTCAAATATATATATATATATATATGCTAGCCTGTAGATAGAAAAATGATTCAACAGCTGATCAGACACTTCACACGCGCCACACATTAACCTATTTAATTATTAAAATATAATATAATATAATATAAGTGAATATATATCTTTTTTAAGTTTTTTCACCTCTAATGTAAGAAAAAAAAAATTTATAGAAATGTTGTGTAACGTGGTCCTAACTAACTAAATAGAGGAAAATGAACAGGAATAAAGAAGACAAACCGTTGCATCCTTCTAAAAGGATCCAGGAATAAGCAGACAAACAGACCTCTAAGCGAGAAAAAAAACAGATGTTTATGCACGAAACAGAAGAAAATGAAGATCCTTTGCAATCGAAAAGAGGGAAATTTAAACTTCAATCAGTGTGAAATGAAGAGCACAGAGAGTCGGGCAGGGAAGCGAACCGTTGCAACTCGATCTCAAGTGAGGAAGACAGCCCAGGCGATGCTGCCGCGTTGAGAGGAGGGGAGTCTGGAGGGAGTAGTCTCCGGCGATAAAACTTGGAAGTTTGGGTGAAGATGGAGGGAAAATTGGGGAGGAAATGAAGGGATATAAAATGGAAATTCTGGTATGGATCATCAGGAGGTGGCCTCTTTTCCACTTTTCAACTTCCCATGGCATTTTCGTCCTACCATTTTTTAACGCCAACAGAATCCGCAATTAAATTTTTTTAGTATAAAGGATAAGGATGACTGTTTACCCGCTTTTGTTTTTAACAAATTAAGAGGGTAGTTATTTTAAAATTAAAAAATTTTAATTAATTATTTTAAAAAATAATAAAAGATATTTTAATTTATATATAAAAATAAGATATTTT